AGTTTGTAGAGGTAAGGCTGATGGTGATGACATGGCTATGGTTAGCTGTGTTCCTTACGATCACCTGGAACACTGCACAAGCCGACAAACAAAAGAATATTGTTTTTCAAGCAAACTATGAAGATCTCATTACGGGTTGTTGGGAAGGAAGCTTTGTATTAAACGAGTGCGAGGAACGTTGTGAATGTCGAAATGGGGAGCTTGTCAACTGTTACCGTGTGAGGAAGGATTTCATCAAAATGGACATCCATGAAAGGCGTCGTTTTCTTGACGCCTACAAGATCGTTTCCATGTATCCTAGTTTCAGAAAAGACTACAAAAGAGTAGTCGCTTATCATATTACATACACCCCCACCGAATTACTTCACGAAGGCCCATGGATATTCCTACCCTGGCATCGATGGTGGCTGGTTGAGTTTGAAAATCTTCTTCGTCGCGTTGACTGCCGCGTAACCATGCCTTACTGGAACTGGAGTCGAGTCGCCAACCACTGGTGGAGAGGCATTGGTAAAGAGGACTTCTGGAGCCCAGAGGCGCACGGGCTGGGTGGCGATGGTAAAACTCCAAGTCTGTGTGTTGTCAATGGACCCTTTCGCGAGGACAAATGGAGCCTGTTGACAATTGGAGGAGGAGGATGTTTAAAGAGAAATTTCAGCTACGTTCACCTCACCGGAGATGAAGAACACGTCAGGGATACTTTGGCTCTACCTCTGGAAGAGTTTCTCCAATTTGAATATATATTGCGAGAAGTTTACCATAACGAAATACATTGGTATGTCGGCGGAACCATGTACACTACTGAAGCCGCAAACGCTCCTGAAGTAGTACCTCATCATTCCTTCCTGGACAAAATTTGGCGCGAGTGGCAGAAGAAAGGCGAACAATACAAAAATGTATTTTTTTACGACGTTCCGTGGAAGTTCCCAAACTCAAACTATCACGGCTGGCAATGGCTTGACTCCGATAACCTTCCTGATCAAGTGAAAGTTACGTACGAAGATTAACCATGGGA